GGCTGGTAAGAATGTCGACGATACCCGCGGATTACTTGAGGGGAGCTATTAAGTGAGTGGATGGTGTGAGGAGAAAATGAAGAGCGGAGACAAGTCGGTATAAAGTGGGCATGTAGGAGGGGAAGAAGGCGAGAGAAAGGTTTCTTTGATGTCTCTGGTCCCCTCAGGTGATTCTCCCTCCCATTCATTAGGGACCGGTTTCCCCGGAACCTTCCTGTCGACGTGCCATCTGGAAGGCCCTTAAAAAAAAACACTCCTCGACTTCACTGCAAGCGTCTCGTGTTAACATACGCCATCCGCCCCCCTCCTAACACCCCGTCCTCCCCTCTCCCTTTCTCTGCGATGGTCCTCAAAGTGTTCCACTTCTTCACAGTTAGGTTCGCATGTATCAGATGAAACTTTAATGGTTCCCATGGGGAAAATGGGTCATTGCAGCAGAGAATGTGAATTGGCAACTATTCTGTAAATAGAATAGAATTTTTTTTTTTAGGTAAAAAAAAAAAAAAAAGTTACAGCTTTAGTATGATTGTTAAGAAATATTGTACATTTTTACATTTTTATATTGCCGTTGGCTGAATATTTTGTGGACTCAGACAGTTTTCCTTCTTTTTTTCTGACACTTTAGAGATCAAGTGATTAATAGAGAAAACGAATGATTAGCCACAGTTCTACTGTACATGTTCACTGAGTATTGACTTCAAGGGCTCTTCCAGATTAGGTTTATCCGTACTGTGGCTGAGTGAGATTGTCTCATTCCCCCAACTTCCCTGCTGGCCAGAGTTCACATTAGTGTTCAATACCACTTTTATACACAGTGAAAGTGTCTGCCAAATCCAATTGATACAGTTCAATTGTTCTAACTCTTCAATGGGTAACTATGGTGCTGCTGCTTTTGTTCAGATGCACAGACAAGGAGTCAGAGTTGAGAGATGTTATTGGTTAATGGTTAGTCATTTAATTGCAATATTTTAATATTTAATTGAGTAAATAAATTAGATTACCTAATAAGGTAGAAAACAAAGTACCTGCAGTTTAGCTATCAGAAAATGTACTGACAATTTGTTGTAGTACCTGGTTGTTCCACCAGGTGGAGCCTCTTACTGTTTAATAGAATGGAGTTACTGGTGTGTTTGCCGCCTGCCTGTAAGTCTCGCATTAAACCGAACTCCACCCCCCAGCTGTCTAACTGCAAGTTGTGGCGGTGGTGCTGATGAACTCTTTAGTATGAAGTTGTGAAAAAGGTGTCTGTTCAGTTTAGCTGGCTACCTGAGGCTAATGCTAGCACTAAACTACGATGCTCAAACACTAACGCCGCTAATGTTCAGGAGCAGCAGGACTCTGATGCTTCCAACAACACTGAAACTAAACAGATGAACCAACCGGCAATGCTCTGCTCTGACAATAAGTACATTTTAGAGGTGACAGTAAATCCTGACAGGTTCCATGGATTAACAAAGGTTGCTGCAATGGTGTTTGTGAACATTTGCTCCAACTGAGCCACCGTTTGCAGCAGCTGGATTAACTATGTTAACTACAGTACACAAGTCACTCCATTATGTAGAACGGGTAGGAGGATTACTGTGATATCAGACTGCTGTGAAGAGATTAACAACATTATAGTTGAATAGCAATTTTAAATGAAGTCGTTATTTTTGTCACTGTATTCATAATACTGTAACCTGGTGTTTACCCTGTTTATTTTTTTGTATTTTATTCCCTTTAAACTTATCAGGAATTTTAAAGTTTTACAGTTTACACCACATCAGGACATTTTTTTGTTTTAGTTTGCACTGTAATTTTTAAATTATTTATTGTTCCAGCTGTTCACTTACCATTTTAATTACGCTGTTTTTATTTCTTTTAAAATATTTGAATGCATTATTCAACGCCTTTAAATTGCATTTGTGTATGAAATGAGCTATGAAAATAAAGTTGCCTTGCCTTGCCTTGACAAACAAACTAGACTCTGTGCTAAAACACACTTGAGTACAGAAATCAGGAGGAAGTGTGGAGAAACCCTAACACACAATCACTTATAACAGCTATGTAGTTCCTACTAGCTCCACCAAGCCTTTAAGCATCTCTGAGTTTGTTGTTTTTCGGCAATGGTTTTAAGTCATGCCAAGTAATACATCACCAGTCACATGTCACAAATTTGCCTCGCAGGCGTTCAGTACAGAAGCTCCTCTGAATGCGACTTGCTCAGCAGCAAACAGCAGACGGACACAGTTAGCAAAAAGCTGCTGAACACTGTGGAGCATTTAGACGTTTTCCTCAGAGTTGGTGGAGATGAAAACAGAGCAAAAAGGAGAGAGAGTTTTGAATGTAAATGTGCTGGGTGGGGCTGCAAGGTGGAATGATGGTTAGTATCGCGTCCTGGTGAGGACACCCAGGATCTGTTCCAAAAATATTGACCAATAAGATTTTATAAACTCTCGGATATTATTGGCAACAAAAAAATAGTATGAGTTGGGCTTCAATGTGTCAAATTTGAAGCTTTTGCAAATATGTTAGTCAACAATTATTAAGACAGCACAGAAATCTATGTTAATCATGTCTAGAACCAGCATCACAGTTACTGTGTTCAACAAAAACCACAATTAGTTTATTTCTCAGCTGTAAAATATTCACTTAAAGCTCAACATATCTTTATCATAGTCCAATTCATGATCATTTCAAGGGACTCGTATTTAAAATATTAGTTTTTATTATGCATTCTACATGTTTATTGGCTGATACTGTTGTCTGATTTGTTTTTACACTCAGAAATGATTTCTTTCATCAGCCTCAGGAGTCCAATCGGAAATACCAGTGGGGCTGTGGCTGAGACTACTCGGCTGTGCTTTGTTAGCATTTAAAGACATAAACAGCGTCTGTCAAGCAACATCAATTAGTTACTCTGATGTCTATACAAAATGAAAAGCAGGAAACACAAATGCTGATTTAAGTCCCTGTAGGAATAAAGCATAACTGTGCAGACACAAAAGACTGACTATTGTATAAACCGATAATCAAATTACAGCCATTGTCTCCTACAATGTGCTAGTTGGACATATAGTATATATGGAAGGAAACCGCAGAAAGAGGATATCGGTGGGCACTAATTCAGGCGTGGAAACACAATGAAGAACCACAATCCGATTCTGGACGGACTCATCTCTGCATAATTATGGCGTTACATAATAAATCTTAGTTTGTACAGTGAGACACTCCCTGTGTCACATGCCTCGCAGTTGTTGACTGTGATTTTACCAGTGGAAAAACTTGGAGAGCTGTTGATAGAGACGGCAGGAGAGCAAACAATTGAGGTCACTGTTAAAGAAATAAATCCGGCGTGTCGTCAGATCACACCTGCTCATCTCAGCCAACAACCTGCGGCACACTATCATTACCGTGCATCTTCACCTTTGCAGTTCTTGCCACTTACGCAACAGAGATGCGCTGTAATATCCTATGGGGATGCTGGGGAAATTAGTTGTGAAAGAAGTTTTTCAGTCAGGGACAGAGCTCATTACTTCCCTCTTCTCCCTGGACAGAAAACTGCCACACAGACGGCGCTACCGGTCGATTGGCGTTGTATTTCTCAACTGCGTCCTGCTTGCATAAAAAGGTAAAGACTTGTGGTTTTTGATTTTAGCAGTTACAACAGGTTCTGCTTACTGTGACTAAACCAGCTCCGCCCTCCGATGTGGGTCATTTATACTGGTCTATATGAGTGAAACTGACAGTCGGCCCGGAGGCAATATACCCTCCAGTGCCACTGATACGATCTCCATTTAACTTAATAGATTTTTAATAAACTGGCATCATATAAAGGGCGACTGTAATATCATCAGAGGCAATTTGTCAATATGCTGTAGGGAGGTTACATCAGCACCATTAAAATGTCACTGGTTAAATGTCCTAATACGGTTATCTGATCTGCGAAACATGAGAACACATGCTGTCTGCACAGCAAGAGAAAGTGAGAACACACACATAGTCCCAGACCCACAGACAAGCACTAAAAACACACACTTAGGACACACACACACACACACACACACACACTTAGGGAGCATCTAAATGGGGGCAATTTTCTCTTCCGGGCACAGGAAGCACATATATGTCATCATGTATCACATCATTGTTAGTCACCCACACAGGGTAAAGACATATACAATAATTTACCCTCAGCATACAGTATGTGTACACTCTCCAAAGTCCTCTGTTCTCTGCTTGCAAAACAACCTCAAATACCACATAATCTCCAGTTTCATTCTTCCAATATGAGAGAAACAACTCTGCCAAGCTTGCAAACCAAATATTTCAGGGTGCTAGGTGCTTGTTAGTGAGTGCACTAAGCAGGATTAGAGCCATTTCCCTGATAAAACCTCCAACTCGCTCGGTATGCTGTGTGTACTGGATGCGTGCAGGCGAGATGCAGAGGACCAGTGGTGAGAAGAAACCCGCACTTAGACTGAGTGCCTGTAATTTTATTATCTGGGTCTACTCTTCAGAAATTATTGTGGGTGGATCGTTAATTCCTCCATGAGATTTTTGGTTTCAAGTGACCTAAAATAATGAGTCACACATTTGAAAACCTAGCTGGATGTTAACAGCATTTGCCAGTAAAGCTTGTTTCATTTTTATTGGATACAGGTGAGATTGGAGAAGCGTGTATGAACAAAACCTCATCAGGACAGTTATTACTGAAAGCAAGCACTCAAACAAACTGAAAAGCAAATTATAGTCAAATTTCATATAAATGGCATTTACATAAAGTATATTATAGGACAAACAAAAATCTGATTTATAGTTGATTTTACATGATTCCTGACTAAAACTAAGATATGTCTAATAATCACAATAAAAGTTCACATTGATCACGGTGAGGATGATGACTAAAGTCAGCACAGGCGCTCTATTACAAATATCACTAGTATTTAACATTACAGCGATCAGAAGGTCTACATCAGTACTTAAGCAGTGTAACGTGCCCTCTCACCCGGACAACTTACCTCTTGTTCCCGGTGTCGGTAGTTCCGTCCATCCTGAATGGAGGTTTTGTTTTGTCCCGGTGCTGCGGACCCGTCCTGCAGCCCCGCACCGGTCCAATGCCGACTCTTGAGGAGTCCGGGAGCGGCTGTTTGTACCGCGCAGCAGCGTCAAGTACCACCAGAGTAACACCGCAACACGAGGGCTGCAGCCTTCAAAATAAACAAACAGGCTGGATGTTCCCAAGAGCTTCAGCACAACTCTACAGAGAACCAAAAAGTCCAGTTGCTTTTTACAAAAATCTTGTAGATTACCCGACTTGAATAACACAGACAACAGGCTGGATAAAAATCATACATCACAGACCAACATTAAACATGTTCACATCTAGTTAGCCACAGCTAGCAGCTGGTTAGTTTAGCATTAGCTTACAGAAAAACTTTAGAAACAGACAAGCTAGCACATATGTATGTTAAAGTACACCTACCTGCTCCTCTACAAAGCTCACTCACTTTTTAAATTTATAATTTACTTGAATAATTTGCACATTAACTGAAACGTAAAAGCAAGAATTTCTACTTTCACAGGGTTTTAGGAGCTTACCTGGCAGACCGTCCCTCGCTGTCATGGTGAGGTTGCCTGGAAACCAGGGACCAACCTTTGGACAGAGCCATGCTAGCTGCTAAGCTAAATTAAGCTAACCATCCTCAGCTGTAGCTTAATATCACAAACATAAAAGTGACTTTATTCTTCTCAGCAATGAAACCTATTTTCTAAGTTGTTGTAATATCCCTCAATGGCACCGTTATAGAAAAGGTAGCTGTTGTAAAAATGTTGGCTAGTTTATCCTATTTAGCCTAAAAACTTCCTTTTCAGGCAGGAAGGGATTATTCTCCTCGGGGGAAAAACTTGTAAATGTTTAACTTTGATTAATAGGAATTAGTTTTTAAGAATTAAGCAATCACCAAAAAGAGACTTTCGGTAAACAGTTTTTAAAAAACAATGTTAAGCATTGTGATTTTATCAAATAATAACTACAGATTGGTGCATTTGTTATTTAAGCTATTAATGGGGGGTCCAGGCTATGAAAACATGAGTGTAACCAACGTAAAATGCTATAAATGTTCATGATACGTTCCCCCTTTTCAAGAAGTGAGAGAAAAAATGCAAGAAAATGGAATAAACAAATAAAACTCCCGGTTACGTTGGTGTCTTATTGTGAAGGCGCTGAGCGGAAGTCGCCTCGCTCATCGCGGTGAACTTGACACCGGCGCGCTCTCTCCGTGCAGGTCCGCCGGTCCGCCCTCCTCCCCGCCTCCCTCCTCACGGCTCCCACATAAAGACAGCCTTGTTAGGCGACTCAAGACACCGTTACAGCAGCAGGAAACACTACTGCCTTTCATTTGTAAAGCCAACAAGAAGTCCAAATGTGAAGTCGACATCTAAATCTGAAGTGACCTGCGGGGCTCTCTGAGGACCGGGGTCCCAGTCAGGCAGCAGGCAAATACCAGCAGTGTCCTCGGAGTGCGGTTCCACTTCCCTCAGGACTGATAGAGAGAGCGGTGCTGCTGCTGCTGCTGGGGATGGAGGAGGACTCGCATGTTTTACTTGCACATTGCAGGAATACTGTGTGAATAAGTCAGTCCATGCATTCCAAATTAGTAATACTCTTGAAAAAGTTGCTCCTTATCATGTAGAAGGGATCATTTCAGAATAATGTCCCCAACTGTCTCTCATTATTTCTTTGTTTATGGTTTTATATTTTGAATTATTATAAGTGATGACAAGTGAATGTAATTAATGTTATGCCATTACAGGGCACAGCATTAATTCAAGTCGAGACACTTTTATTCATATAACACTTTTAAAGCAACAAAGTGCTTTCAAATAGAAAAATATGTTGCAAATGTACCTAACAGGGTGCTAAGATTCAGCCCCTATACTATTATGTATAATATATATAATATGAAATGTACCTGAGTAAACTAAATAATACAGTTAAGACCTACAATATTAGATAAAATACAAATTAACTTGACTAAATAAAATATTAACGTTAGGACCTTATAATACAGGTAACTATGCAAATTTGTCCAACAAATTTAAATGTTAGGGTCAAGTCCCTACAGTATTATATAGAATACTAACTGACCTGACTAACTTAGGAACCTAAAATATTATACACCAAACCAAGTTGTGTGACTAATTTAAGAATTATAGTTAAGATCTTACAACGTCATACATGGAAAAACCAACAAACCCAAAGATTCCCAATGAGCAGCATATGGGTGACGGTGAAGATGAAAAACTCCCTTTTATCAGGAAGCAACCCTCCAGCAGAGCCAGGCTCAGGGAGGGCGGTCATCTGCCTCGACCTGCTGGGGTGAGGGTGGAAATGATAGCAGAGACAAACAAGAGAACATAAACTAGTTTGTGGAATCAGTAACCACATATGAGACCTGAGCAGCTCCAGAGCCAGAAGAGCAGAACAGAGAGGACAAAACACAAAGCTGATAACATGCAATATTTAATCATAAATGTATTTAGAGAGTGACAACAATCACAGAAAACTCAAGTATAACCACGTATGAAGACAACCTTAGATGAGATAAAGCATATCGGCTAAGAAAAAAGCAAGCGAGCTAAGGAGAAAATGAGTGAAATCAGACAAGCGATCAATACGAAACATCAGATCAGTAAAGAAACTAAGAGTGAACACGACCAGGGCAGCTTCAGGAAAAGCTAAAAGCCATAGAATAAAGCTGAGACTTTGGAATTGCCAACAGTGGGACGGGATTTAATGTGGATCAGGAGACTGTTTCAGAGCCTGGGTGTGATAACCAAAAAAAGAGGAGTAAATGTGATGACGACTTCAGAGGCCTGGGGGCAGAAAATAAACCTAACGTATCAGTAATGCATGGTGGAACGTATCCATTAAGAGCTTTATGAACAAATAGTAAAATCTGAAACTCAACTCTGTATATCTTGGGCAACAAATTACAAATGTGCCAGAATCAGCACTTTGAAAGTTTTGGTCCCACTTTCTCATAAGGTATCCTACACACACACACACACACACACATATATATAAAGACTTTACTGTATATGGAATATATGTATGAATTTTAGGTGTGTGTCCTGTCGTCTCATGGCGCATCCCTCGTGGGATTATAGCACATCAATAATACAGCACAACCACAGTAAACAGCTTCCTATGCCGGCCATCGGCTTGTTAATAATTCTGGTCTTCCTCTGGCTGAAAAGTCCAGAATCCATAAATACTGAAACATCTCCCTCTTCAATATTTAACCGCAGGACACAGCATGTCTCCCACTTCACTGGAAGAGTCCATGGACCGTGATAACTTTTTCCCCTCCTTCAGCAGATACATGTAGAAACACCCCACGAAGTCTTCACAGACACGATTCTGCGCAGTGAGGCGAAATAACGAGAAGAAAAAACACACTTTTAAGTGGAGGAAGGCTTTAAATCAGAAACCGCATCATCTCGGTCCTCTACGTTAAATTGCGACGAACAGCACAGTCCTCTAAATTGGCCATAATGGCTGAAACATTCATGCTGCTCATCTCAAGTGAAGCATGCTCCCAAAAAAATGAGTAGCTAAATGTCTTTTAATTCACCAGCCTTCTCATATATGACAACACAGCGCCCTCACATGGTCGACCGTGGGATTGCACCCTCCACAAACTTTCCCCACAGGAATAATGATGCAAACTGGATCAATAAAGTTCAGTCTCTCCTGGATGTCAAACAGACACAGATTCCCTTTGAAGCGCAGCAGATGTCTGTGGGTTTGTCACGTCGTTTTCTAACAAGCTGATATGAGTCTCGCGCTCGGTTCCACCTTTGAGGAGTTGCATCATTTTGGCTCTGTGAGAGATCTAAAGAGGCTCGTCTCTCTGCAACGTCCTCCCTCTGAGACAAACCTGTGATAAAGGGCGGCTTAAATGCACCTGACCTGACTCGAGGAGAAGCACCCTGCAAGTTTTTTTTATCCCCGAACGAAGCATCGGGGGCGTCGCTGGATGTGAAACTGCGCTCTTTGATGGCTTACTATCATAAAGCAAACTGACTTGGAGATGCAGGCCTGTGCAGACTCATCACATCGACGCCCCGCTGGATGTATTATGCACAAAGTGTTAACAGCAGTGTCAGCGTACACAGGGGGAAACAGGCAATTAGGGCAGCGGATGTGAATGTGCTAGCACGCTGGAAACCGATCCCGTGGGCTTTCTGCCGCTTAACGAGGCAAAAGGGAATCGGTTTGTTTGTTTGTTCATAAAACACGAGCTCCTTGACACAAGACACACAACATCCACAATAATAGAATATTATTTTTTAATTAATATTCAGTCTTACCAACTCATATAAAACAAAATATAAAAATATACAGGCAGCTCAAAATAGAACTACAAGTATTATTATAATTTTTTCTTTTAGAAATATACAAAGGCAGGCTCTCTGGAAAGAAAATCTCTAGCTACTAAAAGCAAAGTTTAGCTGAACTAGTCACATTAGCGTACTTTAAAATCAACAGAGAGTACAGCAGCTGGCTTGTATTGGTCATACTAAACACATACTTTCCCTAAAGGACATGCCTGAGGCTTAGATTAAGTGCATAGGATGTTTGGTGCAGCTTTGCTCTGCAACTTTAAGATCTACAAGCAAATCCTTCATCAGACCACAACATGTGAGAAACTGAACTCAAATTCAGTTTTTCACCATCAGATGGTTTCATTTGAAGGATTTTAGAGCGCTTTGGATGTAAAGAATATCAAGTCTTTGTCAAGAAGAAAAGCAAAACGAGAAATATAATTACAATAAATAAATAGATGTGATTTTGTATAACTGTATTATAAGTTGTTTGCTCTTATCCCATAACACCTTCTGTGAGTGCAGAAAGACTTTACAGGTTTTGTTCTGCTCTCTGACGCTGAGTTGAGTCTCTAACCCTTAAAGTTCTGAAAGATCTCGGCGGCGTCCAGCCAGGTCCTGAAGCAGGCCAGGCCTCGGTCCCGGATCTGTTTCCTGCCCTTGTCCGTGATCACGTCGCCGTTCTCCTTCACGATCACCAGTTTGGGCACCGCAGTGATCTTGTAGCGCTGCTTCAGCTCACTGAGAGAGAAGGAAGAGACAAAGACACACATTTAGAAGAAAAACACACGTTAGGACAGTTGATGTGCTTCTACTCTGTGAATGTACAAATCTGAGTACTTTTGTACTTCTACGATCGTACTTTTCACAGGAAAATGCTGCACTTATTATTACACTGCATCTATTGTGGCAACAAGACAAATGACACTTTTAAACTTTACATACAAAACACTTTTAATGTACTTTTATCAATTACACTGCCTTACAGAACACAATATACAAGAAAAAACATAAGAAAATTAGCTTTACCTGACCTTCAAGCAGCAGCAACAAAAAAATCTGTTTCTTTAAGCTGCAACTTTCTTTGATCGTCACTTTTTGGTTTAAAATATTAGATCAAATGTCAAACATTCGCTCTTCTCTGCTGCTCTTGTTCATCGTATTTGACAGTAATCTGAATATTTTTAACTTTTGGAAAGTTGGTCAGAAAAAAACAGGACATTTGAGGATGTCACCTAACTCTGGGAAACTTTAATTTCAAGATTTTTGTTTCACATTTTCTCAAGAAAGTAATAATCTATGACTGAACAATGAATCAAGGAAATCACAAAGGTTGCAATTCAGAATACAGGTCATGGAGCATGTCTGATCCAGGGTTTAAACTATCATGTCGGTGTTTGTTTGGTTTTTACAAATTCATGCTGCCCTGGTTTGACACATTAATGGTACCTGATGTGGTACGGCTTCATCACATGTCTTAAGAATATTACATAATGAATACTGAACTGAATTTTGAATTTAAAAGTATATTCTGAATCAAATGCTAGCAATATCAGTCAGAAAAAATGCAATTAGATAATTTCCCCTAAATGGTTAATTTGATAGTCAGCAGAATAATCTGTGGTAGAATGAAAATAGTTGAAAGACGCAGCCCTGTCTGAGATTACAAAGTTAGAACATTGCTCATGATACTTCATTACATCAGCAGCTGAATTCAGGACTTTTACTGTTGTATTGTTATTTATGTTCTCCAACACTAAAGACATACAGCCTGGATATAAAGACCTGGGTTTCTATCATAAACATCATACACACAAATATTTACAAAAACAGAAAGACCTAGATTTAATTCATAACCTCGAATTAAAGAAACACAAAAAGTGGAATAAATCATGAAGTGATCATTGGTTCATTCACACTGAGCTGCAGGATGAAGAAGTGTGTCAGCTCTGCTCCTAGTCCTAATCCCAGACAGGGTGACCCTCATGAGCATTTTATATAAGCTGGAGCAGAGCCTAAGAGGCTGCATGGACTAATTAGATGGAAGATAAATAAAGTACAAGCTAGCTAATTGTGCTTCGGGTAAACTGAAGTGAGCCCAAAGTGTGAATTATTTTAGTTTTAAAAAAATAAATAAATGAAACACCTACTGTTTGTAATCATCAGTAAAGGGCAGAGCCAGCCAGTCTCCGTGCATGTCGTGGTAATATTCCACCATGTCATCGGTCGACTTGTCGGAGGAGACGAAAACTATCTCGAACTGAGCAGGAGGTTCGCTCTCCTCCACCAGCTCCGTGTAGAAGTCACACAGGATGGGTGTGAAGTCCCGACACGGAGGACACCAGCCCGCCGAGAAGTAGATCCCCACCACCTTGTTCCTCAGAGCCTCCTCCGGCTCCACGAAGTCCCCGTCTTTATTGAGCAGAGTCCGCCCGGAGAACACCTCCACCATGTCGGCTGCACTCTCACACACTTCACGGTAAAGAGTCCCGGACGCTCAGAGTGTCCGTTTAGCTCATACCTGTGGTGAAGTTTGAACACCCGGACACCGGCGTCGGAGCTCCGAGGAAGCTTCCTGAACTATTTACCTTTTCCCTAAAGCTACTTACAGCCAATCCCGGTAATCAGCCGCGGACCAATGAGGAGGCAGAACACAGTTGTAGTTCATTAGCCATGTGGCAGCTTCACACCGAGAACACATCAGCTGCTGTTATGACTTCTTCAGCAGCGGCGGCGGCGGCGCGACTGTTCACAGCGCTTTACGGCAGCGCAAACTGACGCATGCGCAGATGCATGCCTCTGAACTCTGAGGCAGTTTCTGGGCGTTTTCTGCTCCTGTTACGTTTTTCTTTGCTGTGGGTTCATTTTTCACTGTAAAATAAAATCCAGCACCTCTATGAAAACAGCTCAGCCGTGGCTAGAAGTCGAGGAAACTCAAAATTGTTTTCAGAGCAGAAGGACAAAGTTATCATGCCATTCTTTATTTTAAAAAATAAAATAAAATAAACACAAAACGGAAGTTGATTTTCTCTTATTGTTTATTCATTTGTGATGAAAACAAAACGTAATAAACCTTTTCCAGGTTCCCACATATATAACAAACAGTAGACAATTTTAGAACATTGTGAAAAAGTTTAATATTTTCTATCCGTTATTAAAGAAAGTGACATTTTATTATATTGTAGAGTCATGACATGTAAACTGAAATATTTCAAGCCTTTTTTGTTTTTGATGAGCTTCGCTGTTCAGTCGTCTTTGGTGTTTGAAGGCTGTTTGAGTCCTACTTTACCACAAACAATACAAACTATTACAGTAATGATAAAATGTAAAAAAATAAAAAACATGAACACTGGCTGCTGCTGTCTCTGTCTACTGTCTCCTTGAATCTGTGATATTTCTCCCCTGTTTTCATCTTCAGCTCTTGCATATCAATATCAGTGGCTTCCAGCAGCTGCAAGATGAAACAAGAGTTCAAAAGTAACTGGAAGCTTGGAGGAATGGAAGAGTGACTCAAGTAGGTTCAGTGAGGCCTGCAGGAGTCGTCCCACCTTGTTGCGTTGTTACCTGCCTGATGTGGAACCACCTGAGGTCTGGCCAACCCGGGCTCTGGATATGTCAGCTACCTCATCATCTACCTTTACTGCATCCTCAGTTTTTGGTTTGAGTAGTTTTTGTCTCAGCTGAGCTCAACATTAGAGGAGTGTATACTTGTTTGTCACAGATGTTCACATCTGTCCGTGAGGGTGGTCACCACTCCATCATGGTTCTGTCTAACAGCTGATAAGAGAGCAGAGCCCAGCGCTTCTTCACTCAGAGCTCAGCTGGCATTAGTCGTGCTCTGAACAACATTCACTGTGAGCTCGGATGTTTGCAGCTTAATGCTTCTGTTGTGGTCAACTTTAGACTTTCATTTGGAGTGACAGTCAGGTGATCAGTCAGACGTTGTCAAATCACCATCGCAACACAGAACAATCACATAAAAACATTCTCCACTAAAGAGATTGTGATCTGCAGCACCAGGAGTCAGTCTGCTCTCATGATGACCAGTCAGAGCAGAGTTGGACAGCACTGCCTGATACTCCCACATGGAGGAGACAGCATGCCGCTCTGAAAAAGGCATCTAGACAAAACAAAATGAAAGAGTCCAAAATGGGCAAACAAGGCACACATTCTGGAGGACAGCCTGCAGGCTGGTCTGGCAGACTGGGCTGCTCAGATGGCCAGAGTCGGAGTCAGAGCCTCTCGGGTGGAGGGGCAGGAGGCTGGCGGTGAAGGTGGAGCAGGAGAAGACACCAAAAATAAACCAAATAAATGAACATTTAGCAGAGCCATTTAGTTTGTCCACAGCTAATAGATGCATAACAATGTATTTTGTAAATCTTTCTGCATCACTGTTTACTGGATTCAGTTAATGTCAAGCCAACTGTCATCAGGACACTGTTCTATGTCAAGTCATTTAATTACCAATGTACTTATTATTGTCGCAAATGACATCATGTATGATAACGGGGTAAACTTTTAAAAACGATTTTGGATGAAAAATACATCTAAAATGATACAAATTAGAATGTACTACATGTGCAGTAAAATTCAAAGCGTGTGGACTAGTTTTAAGTGAAGGATGCAACCAAAAGGGAAACTTCTCCATTCATGTACCAGACATTTGGTGCCATTTGACAGGTTTATTTTCTGGTGTAGTTTAATGTTTAAGTGAGTTTCTGTGCAAGCTTGCCAGTAAAGTGACTAAAATGTTACATAAAATAAACGTACTAAATACTTTCAGCACATTCAGTGTCTATTATGGGTAAACATGAGATTATTATTTGATTTCACATCTAGACTACAGCTCTAAAGCAGCTTTCTGTGTATCGTCAGTGAAGCACACGTGGAGGTCACTGTGTGTTTGTGTCTCTCTTTGTTTCTTCAGTGAAGTGCACTGAGGTCATTTGGAAAGAAACTCGGCCGCTCTTCCTTGTCCAGCATGTTCTGCCCATTAGTGGAGCCAGCCGCTGGTGTGTAAAGACTGAAGAGACTTTTTCTTTTCAAAGGGATCTTCTGTCCAAAAACAATGACTTCTAATTCCAACTTATCCAACATGCGACGGCTGGTGGAACAACTGAAGCTGGAGGCCAGCGTGGAAAGAATAAAGGTTGGTTCAAAGAATACGAGTTCAGGTTTTGCTAATGAGCTTTTCTTGATTTGTTTAACTTTATTTTGTTTCCGAAGTACAACCACTGAAAAAGCCCTAATATAGAGAATAATGATTTGCTTTTCTTATTTTATATAAAACACTACTTGTGTTGCTACAGCATGATCATACAGTCTCATAAATGTCATACTATAAATTGAACTGAAATTCTGGAAATTCTTTTTTTTTTATGGAAAAAAATGCCCTACATTTCACAATTCCAGCTTTTAAATTGTGAAAATTTGCTGCTTTTCCTTAACATTTTAATCTATTGTTAATAGTTTGACATGTTGAGCTCTAGATAACTGTGATCACTGCTTTCTGATTTATTTTAAAAACACCAATCAATGCTTTTAATCAAGAAAATAATCAGCAGATTGATCAGTTTCAGTCATATAGTTGAAAAAAAAAACTGGCTTAACCTTAACTGCTCAATGCTACCTACACATCAATACATTAATGATATTAATTAAAAAATATGATGTATAATAGATTTGACTAAAATTTTCACTGCAAGTCTCATAATCATTACAACAATTTCCCTGATGTTTACACCGAAGGGATCAATAAAGGTTTATTCTCTCCTCTTCTATTTTATTCTTTTCTCTTGGAGTATTTTGTGCTGTGGTATCAGTACTTCTACATACAAGATAACTTGATGATGAAATGTTTTCTCATTCCTGTAATAGCAAAACTCCACATGCAGTTATAACTGTGAGCAAATCAATAATAAAGAGTTCTAATAGCATTTCTTTTCTTTTTTTTTTTAGAAGGTAAATTCAAGAACTCTTTCTAAATAAACAGCTAGCAAAAAAAAGATGTAGTTCGATGCAGCATGCAGGAGGGTTGTGCACCACCTGGCAACACAAACGTATCAGTAAATGAATTATTAATGTTCAGAAACCCTGTTTACAGTAAATATACGTGTCAGAAAGCTGTACCATACAGATGAGTGTTTGTGATCCCAGGTGTCCCAGGCGGCTGCAGAGCTCCAGCAGTATTGTCTGCAGAACGCAGCCAAAGACGCCCTGCTGGTGGGAGTCCCTACAGGCAGCAACCCCTTCAGGGAACCGCGCTCCTGTGCTGTGGTATGAAGGTCAGCGTCCACGAAGCATACAGCCTTTGTTAGTGAGTTATCAAGTCTGACTGCATTTGAATTTCAAATCAGTGATAAAAAAAAAGTTTTGCACCTTTTGCAGAGGAAGACAAAGCGGACACAACTGTGGCATCTCACTCACAGAAGAAGCGACTTTTGTTTTTAGCCAATTTATATGGTTTCAATTTCCTGTTTTTGTATGAGAAATTCCTTTTGCACGTTTTTATTCCCCCCACATAAATGTCTTGTTGTACAACTAGCCAAGCAAATGTGCTTTTTTGTTGTTTTGTTGTAAAAAACAGATTAAAGGAAATTATAAACCTGCTTTATTTTAGTCTTTATTCAACCCGCTCCTGTAGACTAATGCTGTGTATGATGATCTCTGCTACCCAGTGGACACTAGTGGAGTCATACAGTGATTATCTGTAAGTTGTACAAAGCGGATGTTTGCAGCTGAGCTCGAAATTACGGCTTGGAATCTCGTGGCGTCGGAGCTTCCTGATGTTCAGTCTAAGTTAGGAGCACAGCCGGAGAAAGGAAACCGAGTCTTCCTGTTCAAAACTGCAAAGACACAGAGCGACATTTCACTCAAATTTAAGCTTTTAAAAACCATTTTATAACGTATTTACAAGCTCAAGGCTGTACATTGTTAGAAAATAACACATGAATCACCACAGTGTAGAAAATGTGTAATATACAGTGTGAGTCATGGGAATTTTAATGGGTTTAGTCACGTCTGTTTGTGCCTCTTTATTTTATATAGGTGTACATGTTGTATAAAGTTTAACTCCTGTTGTACATATATGAAGATATAGATAGTCCCAGAAACAGTTTAGATCAGCCTAAAAGAAGTCTCGCCAGTCATGAGATAGCTCTCTGCTTTATCACTTCCTTTTCCTCTCGGTGCACTTTTCCTGGACGAGTCTCAATACTTTCACCGGTTTGATGCCTCCTTCACTAACAACAACCTTTGTTCAAATATGTGCCACACTGAGGGCCTCATTTTACATTACGCCTGCTTAGGAATGAGCAGAAACTTTTTACACTTAAATTTAGTGGAATTGTTTGCTGAAAATCTACATTAACACCTACTTACCATCACCTAAACATTAATGTGAAGCCAGAGAACGAGGAGAACATTTCAGTTTGGTATGTTTTAAACCTTTAATCATCAGCAAAATGCACGAGGTTGTCCTATAAAACTATGTTTCCATAGTTACAGCGGCCACCTAAAATTCTGTTCTGAAGCCCAAAATGCTTTAGATAAACTACCACAGTGACAATGTTTGTTTTCATGAAGGCAGTTTTTGGTTCTTGATAGAAAATGGATTTGTAATGCATTTTAAATGCTATTTGCAAATTTATAAAAGTAATGAAACTAAGAATATATACAAATCTATAACATTTATATGAAAACTATTTAAAGTGTAGTCAATGCATTGATTTTCTATGAACCACTTTATCCTAAATTTATTTATTTTTTAACTGTGTCATTTAAGAATATGTTTTCAAGTTAAATTCTCAGATGCATGTCTATATGCATAGTTACTGTAAATGTTTTCTTTGAAGCCTTTCCAATCTAAAGTTGTGGTGCCTAAGTGATAATAATCTGCTGTTAAGACATGACCTGCCACCACTTTAAGGTTTCACATTCAATGGAGAGGCCGCCTGGTTCCTTTTGGTGCACATCTAATTTTTGTAGAGTTGCACCTGAGTATTTTCAGATTAAGTTCAATAACATCAGTCTCACTGTCTCATTTCATAAAGGATGCTATTTACTCTGTAATTTGCAGTTTTGATGCAGCCAAAATAAAAATCTCTCTTTGGACTGGTGATGTTGACACAGAGACCTTTAATTCTTCCAAGTGTTTATCATCTATTAAAACCATGTTTGGTCTTAGTGTTGGAGCTGTTACTGAGTGACATAGGGAACTTCTTGTTAGGTAGAGATATATATATAAAAAAAAAAGCTTAGCGCTGACATGACCTCTGTCTTTGGCTCCACCTGGTGGAGCATTTTTGGCATCGCTTCTTTTCTTGTGCAACAAGCTGGAGAGACAAGTGACTAGGTGTGGTGAGTTGCGATCAGCCGGTTGCTCCAGCTGAGACGAGGCGTGGCTGGCCGTTCACTCTCCAGACCTGCATTCAGCATTTAAGACACCAGCAAGGCACACATTGATGCTGGATCATTGTAAGACCCATGTTAGTGATGCTTTTGTTTGTATGCTCTGCTTGGTACCTTGACTCCTGTTCTTACTCTATTCTCCTGTGCTTCAGTTTCGCCACGTTCGCTGTCAACCTGTGATCCACTTTTCGTTCCTGATTCCCCACCGTTGGATTCCTCTGGCTCCAGTTCTCCATATCCTCTGTGTCCCTCTGCTGAAGTCATCTGGTCCACCTCCCTCTCCTCTGGCTCCCCCTCACTAGTTTCTCGTATTCTAGTAAACCTTGTCTCTCGCCTACTCAACCAGTAGTTGTTATTTATAGGTTTTTATTCATTGTGGCAAGTTTTTGTATTAATTTGAAAGTATAGTTTGTCGTCCTTTAGAGGATGTTTGGTAATATTTCTAGTAGTAAGTATTTGTTAGTAGGAGCTTATTTCACCGGTCTGTTTGGGAACCTTAGTTTGTCTTTTTGAATCTTTGTAAATAAATTGTGTTTCATTGATTCAACATTCTTGTGATCGAGTCTTTTGTCTGCGCTTGAGGCCTTTGTTTGCCAAACTGTGACAAGAGCTTAAGGGCTGACGTGTGGATTTTTAATTAGTGTTCACTCAGTAAACAAATGAGCTCACCTTGAATAAAAAACGGATTTAGCAACAGGCTGTACAGCAGCGTTTCACCACTTCCTGTGGTTGAACTCTGGAAGTCTGTCTTTATTGAAAAAGGATTTGCTAAGTCTGTCATGTGATTTTTACTGCTTGACGTTCTGGGCACA